GGGGGGGCTTTGGACTGGAAGGTGCGAGGGAACGAGCAAGGGAGAGGTATACTTCTATGTCTGGAGCATAGCCATTCTGGATCGTGGCCAAGAGACATGCTGTGACGCTGGAACTACCCCTTCCCCCTTCAAATCAAACACAAACACACACACACACACACACACACACACACACACTGCGGTCATCCCCCTCAAACTGCTGCAACTGACTTATACACACTTATACACCAACAAACGACAGCAACGACTCGTTTGTGAATGCGGCGGAAGTCGGGAGAGAGAACGAGAGGGAGAAAGAGAAAGAGAGAAAAGATGAAAAGTACCGGAAGTAAAAGCCCTCTTTCTCTCTGAGGGAGATGTGAGAGGGGCTGAGCGGAAGGGGCCAGTGGGGCTGCAGCAGCGTGGCACGGCAACACCTCTGCTTTGGGCGGCCTGGCCGTGAGGGCCAATAATCTCACGGGCTTTGAGACGGCCGTGCTGAGCCTCCCCCCCCCCTCCTATCGCCTCTCCCCGGCCCCTCTCTCCCTCGGCAGCACCCTCTTTTCACTCGCAGTGAAAGGCCGACTCCGCTCAATCAAAGAACAGTTGTTTTTTTTTTGTGTGTGTGTGTGTGTTTTTGTTTTTTTGGAAAGTGGGTCTGGGGGTCTATTGTTTAATAATTTTAAAGTGGTAAAAAATGCTGTGGGCAGTTATTGTCCGTTTGCCTAGCTGAATATCTAGAAAAACATGTGGTATGAGTGGGGTACGTAGGTTTTCCAACTTGGTTTTTGGAAAGGGCACCAGAGACTATCGGCTGGAATCAACTCTTCTTTAAATGTTCTATATTATAACGCTCAATATAACGACAACGTGCTGAGATTACTGAATAGGGTATTCCAATGGAGCGCGGAGCGGCAGAAAGAAGAATAAAAACGGAAGGTATGGAAAGGTGCCCGTACTCCTCCCCGCTTGCCCCCCCACTCCGCCCAGTAGAGGAGAGAGGGACGGTGCGGGGGCCTTTCCACCTTCCGTTTTTGTTCTTCTTACTACCGCTTCGCCCTCCATTGGAATACCCTCTTGGTCCACCGTGCAATAATAAGTATAGAGAAAACTCATTTTATAAAAGTATTCAAGGTGTTTCTTGTTCTTTTATATATAAATGTTAATCTCACTCCTGGCTTTAATTACGATAAGGTTTCAGCGGCAAATGGAGGCAGAGAAGGAGGAGGAAAGGGGAGCGAGGGGGCAGAGAGGGGGGGGGGGAAGGACCGGGACGGACGTCCGCCTGATACCGCCTGGGCCCCTCGACCTAGTCACGCCTCTCTTTCACTAACTCTCTCTCGCTCTCCCTCTCCCTCTTTCTCTCTCT